TCTGGGGTTCTGATCCAGAACCCTAGATTCTGGATCAGAATCCAGATCCAGGTAGGTTCTCCAGAATAGGTTGTTCTGGAGAACCTATCATCCCTTCTTAAACCTTGAACCCTCAGCCGGATTCTCCCGGATCCTACCTGTTGATGGCATCCTTCTCCGTTGTTTTAAGAACCCCTAATTTTCTTTTAATTTTTGGGCGCCGTATGAAACAGGCTGATCTTTGCTTCCCACCCACCCCGCAAAGCCCAGAACTGTTTTGGTGTTTCTTTTGACTTCCTCTTATGGCTTTACCTGTTGGTCTTCCATCCAACTGCTCATCAGATTTGATTCCCCCCCCCTCCAGCAACAAAGTCAACTCAGAAAGAAGGTTCTGTTTTTTTTTCCTTGCGAGGAAAAAAAACCCAGATTCCTTCTTGAAGGCTTCTTGGAAATATATTCTGCACATGCTCCGGGGGGGCATTTTTATTTTTGTGGTTGGTGGGTGGGTTGATTAGGAGTCTTTGTTGATTCTTAAGAAACCACATAGATAGATTTCATCCAGGGATTTTAATCTGTGTACATCCCTGCAAAGGAACGTTTCTCTGTTTAAAAGATAAATTTTCAGGGTTCCTTTGCTAATGTAGAAAATGTTTTTAAAAATCCTTCAGGCCAAACTTTTCTAGGCAGCTTCATCGGGGAAGGAGGGGGGTTTATGATCAATTTGGGGTTCTTCTGATCCCCAAGATATGTATATGTATAATGTATATATATATGTGTGTGTGTGTGTGTGTGTGTGTGTGTATACACACACACACAGTGCATTGTGTGTATGTGTATATCTATATATCTATATATCTCTATCTCATCTCTATATATCTATATCTATATCTATCTATCTATTTATCTATCTATCTATTTACACACACTACAAAAATACACCTTTTATAGATGTGTGTATGCACACAAACACACGAGAAGCTATACAATACGGACTGCAAAAATACACCTTTTATAGATATGTGTATACACACAAACAGACATATATACACACACACAAAATCTGCAGAAACTGCACATGAGTAGCTACACAATACGACTGTTTATATACAAACAGTCCGTATTGTATAGCTTCTCGCGTGCGTGTATATATGTTGGTGTGTATACACACATCTATAAAAGGTGTATTTTTTGCAGTCCCGTATTGTATAGCTTCTCGAGTGCGTGTGTGTTTGGGTGTATATACACACATCTACAAAAGGTGTGTTTTTGCAATCTGTATTGTATAGCTTATTGACGTGCAGATTGTGGCCTGGCCTTGTTGTTAGGAGTGCTGGACGCGGGGGCAAAAAGGCGGCAGTTTGAAATCGAGGAAAATATTTATTTTTATGTTTTTGTGACAGTTTGGACAGAGGTGGGGGCTTGTAGAACAAGGTAAATTGGAAGTTACAATGCAAACAGGAAAACAGGGTTGTGTGTGCAGCTGATTTCAGATTCCTTTCTGACCCCCTTGTTGGCTGCGTTCACACACCACCCTAAAACCACATCCCGGCCCGTGTCACCTTAAAAGTAGCTTGTCACAGCGCACAGGTGTGCCATGGCTTGTTCGTATAGTGTGCCATGAGATTTTTTAATTGCTTTTTCTTTTCTTTCTTTTTTTTTTAAATTAGGTATAGTTTGTATAATCCGTATAAGGTATCCTCGATTTACGACCAACATTCCTGTGGCTAAGTGAGACAGGCGTTAAGTGAACTTGCCCCATTTTACGATGGTTTTGGCCACGGTTGTTAAGTGAATTTGCTGCAGCTAAGTTAGTATCGTGGTCGTTAAATGAATCTGGCTTCCCATCGCAAAAGCGGATCACGTGATTCCCGAGAAACGGCAACTGTCATAAATAATAATAATAATAATAATAATAATAATAATAATAATAATAATAATTTTATTTCTATACCGCCCTTCTCCCGAAGGACTCAGGGCGGTGTACAGCCTATTTAAAAACACAAACAAAACAACAATGTAAAATTTAAAATAAAATATTAAATATTAAAATATGAGTCAATTGCCAAGGGTCTGAATTTGGATGCTGCAATGGTCATAAGTGTGAAAAACAGTTGTAAATCAATGGTCACTAACTGTGAACTGTTGTAAATTGAGACGTAGTCCGTATAGTGTTGGTACGCTTTATAAAATCTATAACTTCCCATCAAACTATATCATAAAGATTGAAAAATACATACATATTATTCATAATTTTCTGGGGAGTCCCAGAATTAATATTATATATCCAGTGTTGTAGATTCAGAAAGGTTTAAGAACCACGGGTTTAAAAATTGTGCGAATTTAGCTTTTGTGTGGTTAGTTGATGTATTATTTGGGATTATATAGTATATAATCCCAAACCGGAATGCTAAAATTAATTCCATAAACCACAGGTAAGTAAAGTATTGGTAAATCGGTCACAGTCATCTAACCAGCTTTCTGTTTTCCTTGTTTGGAAAATATTAGTATGAATCAACCACTATTAATCTGGATTTAATCTGGTTTTTTTTAATTGGCTGGCGTTATTGCGATTTGCATAATGTATGGTAACTTAATGATTTTGCTCAGGCCAATAGCTGGAATCCCAATTATTGTGGCTTATGAACCCAGGTTTAAGAGCGCTGTGTATAATGTGGGACTGAGTCAGTTGTGTTTTATTCAATAGCCATGCCTGACTAACCATGGTTTAAGCACAATATATGATTACAAATCTGATGTTAGAATCTGAGTGTTGGAATTATTGGTGTGTGGGTGATGTATGTATGTACACAGAGAGAGAGAGAGAGGGAGATGGAGATACCGGTATAAACAAAGCATCTCTAATGAGAATATATATATATTCTCGTTAGAGATGCATTGTTTATTTTTTTGAACCAACTTCCCTGACTTGGCTGTCTCCCCAATATCTTCATCCCCCAGAATTCCCTAGATGGGTTGATATCATTTCCCAGAATTCCAAGCTGAGCATTCTGGGGTTTGAAGTCCATACATCTAGAAAGAAAAGTTTGTTTAAACCCCTGTTTAGAATTTAATAAATAATAAGAATGGATGGATGGATGGATGGAAAGATGGATAAACAGATAGGAAAAGAAGGAAGGAAGAAGAAAGAAAGAGAAAGAAAGAAGGAAGGAAGGAAGGAAATAAAGAAAGAAAGAAAAAGAAGAAGGAAGGAAGGAAGGAAAGAAAGAAAGAAAAAGAAGGAAGGAAGGAAGGAAAGAAAGAAAGAAAGAAAAAAAGGAAAGAAAGAAAGAAGGCAGGAAGGAAAGAAAGAAAGAAAAAGAAGGAAGGAAGGAAAGAAAGAAAAAGAAAGAAGGAAAAAAAGAAAGAAAGAAAGAAAGAAAGAAAGAAAAAAGGAAAGAAAGAAAGAAAAAGAAGGAAGGAAGGAAGGAAAGAAAGGAAAAAGGAAACAAAAAAGAAAGAAAGAAAGAAAAAGAAAGAAAGAGAGAGAGAGAGAGAGAGAGAATATGAAAAAGAGAATTTGGAGTTTAATCCTTTATAGCCTCTTCCTGCCCCTCTGGCTCCAAATCATAAACTAAATCTTAAAAATTTGGCAGAGGGGTTGACACCACCTAGCTTCCTTTAAAAAAAAAACAAAAAAAACCCCCAAACTTCCAAAATTCAGAACTCCGCATGAAGACATTGAAATTGGAATTAAGTCTGCACAACTTTAATTAATTTCTGCCTCTTTTCCTCCAAGCTTTCCCTGTTCCTCCATCTCTTCTAGAAATACTTCAGAGTTTGACGTCTCCAATGGGGTGCCCAGGATCTTTGCATCCTGGAATGTCCCACAAGTCTATATGCCCTTCAGATATTTTTCATTTTTGAATAATAATAATAATTTTTTTTTAAACACACCACCTCTAGCACTGTGGCTTTGGAAGTTTTCTTCCAAAATTAAAATACGAGCTTTGCCCCTCGTATCTTAATATTTGGGGAACCAGCGTGTTCCCCTCCTCCGCCAGTAGCCATTTTGTGACAGTGCCCACAAATATCCTCCTCCTGCCACCCACCCCCAAAGATTGGGGCCCCGCCAATCGAGGATTATTAAAAATTCTTTGGATTCTCAGGAAAGATAGCTGTAGTTTTTAAAAAGAATGAGGTTAGCCTTTTGAATAATTAACCTTAAACCCAGAATGGGGGGTTTCTCTCCAAGGAATGTTGATTTAAAAGAAAAAAAAATCTAATATTTTTTGGGGGGAGTGGGTGGTGGCAAGGATCTTTGCCTCTTTGCAAAGGTTTGGTGGTGTTGCAATTGTCGGCCAGAACAAATTTGCAAAGTATTAAGGAAAAGGCCCAGATACCGATCCGGCAATCTGTTAAAAAAAACTAAGATAATAAGAATAAACTCAAGTTCAGGATTCCTAGCAGCAACAATGGAGGTTTGGTCCTGTTGTGCTTTATGGCTGTTTTATTTTTTTATTTGTAAATAAATAAATAAACGGGCGAGACAGATGCTGTTATTTCCTCTCTATTCCGCAATCTGTGCAGAAAGATTTTGAGCGATTGAAGATTACCGAGCTGGTACAAAAAGCCATTTCGGCTCTGCGTCTTCTCGGTGGTGTTCCAGGTTTAAGGAGGAGGAAATGCCAAAAAGCGTGGCCTTTTGCAAAAATTCCCCATTCTGTTTTCTCAGACTTGGGGTTAGAGAAAGGTGGATTTTTTTTTCTTTTCCCCCCCCCCCTGCTTGTCTGCTGGGTTCACACGACCTGCAGTTTTGTGCCTGAATTCACCTGCAAATTCATTCACACAAGACTCAAAGCCAGGAAAAAAAACCAACAACACCGCCCCCCAAAAAACACCCAGGTTTTTCAAACTCTCTGGCCTTTGTTTGTGTGAATGCAGCCGTAAGATCTTTCCTTTATCTGCTTAGGCTGGGTTGAGAACCCAGGAAAAAAAAGGTGCAGGTTTTGGTTAAACGACTAAACCCAAAATCCGGAACAGGAGGTGGTTGAATTTTTATTTTTATTTTTTTTAAATTTATTTTATTTTATTTATTTTTTGGAAGCTTCCTTTTTTCTGGTTGGGACCAGGATGGGAAAGAGGATGTTGCCTTGGCAACAGAGAGCCATTAAATATCTGAAATGCTGCCATAGTAACAGCGCGGAGGTAGTTTAGGGCTGTCGCCATGGCAACTTTCAGGACTGGGAAGAAGCGTTTGAAACCCGGAGATGCTAAATGTGTTTACAATCCTTAGAGGGGAGGTGGGAAGGAGGAAAAAAAAAAAAAATTCAATATCGCGGAACAACAAAGCCATGTATAGAAGGGAGGAATGGCTGGGTGATGAGATGACGTTCGGTCTCCGTGAGTTTCTGAACATGTCCAGAGCACCAAGCTAGGCTGTCCTCCTCTCTGAATCCCAGGGAGTCAATTCCAATCCAGCTCAACCGATACAAGTAGTCTTTGACTTACGACCACGGTTGGGGGGGCCAGAGTTTCCGTTGCTAAGCGAGGCGAGGTTCTTAAGTGAGTTGCGCCCGGTTTTATGATTTATTTATTTTATTTTTTTGGCCACGGTTGTTAAGCGAGCCACTCCGGTTGTTAAGTGAATCAAGCAGTTCTTTGGGTTAGGGTTATAGGGTTCCCCCAACGATTTGGCTTGTCGGAGGAGGGAAGGATCGAAAAACCCAGCCACATAGCAACCGTCATAAACACATATAGGTTGCCAATCATAGGGCCGTGGGGGAATGCCGCGACGGTTGTAAGTGCGAGGATCGGGGGGTAAGTCGCTTTTTTTTCCCCCCCCAGCGCTGTTGCAATTTGGAATGGTGGCTAAATAGGGGTTTGTAAGCCGAGGATGATTTGATTTGAAGATGTTTTTGGATTTCAAAGCTACCCAGGTTTTGCATTCAGATGCTGGAGGTGAGTTCAAATCCTCCCACGGCTACAGAAATCCCTGGGGGATTCTGAGGCAGTTATACCTCCCTCAGCCTACCTTCCAGGAGTGTTGTTGCGCCAGGAGGAAAAAAAAAATCTACATCTCGCGCTGTGCTAAGATAGAAGTGCATAGGATATTAAAAAAGACAACCTCTGACCTTGGCTAATCTTGGATGGCTAAACCAGGCCAAAACCTGGTTAACATTCGGATGGAAGTCCACCAGAAAAAGCAGACCGGAAAGCCCAAAAATTTAATCTCCAAAGAAGACAGTGGCAAACTGTCCAAGTCAGTTATTTCTCAAATCTCGGCAACGTGGAAGATGCGTGGACTTCAACTCCCAGAATTCATAGCGTAGATGGCTGGGGAATTCTGGGAATTGAAGTCCACGCATCTTAAAAGCTGTTTATAAGTCAAGAAGTACATCCAGATTGTTCCCTGGAGCTGATCCAGAATCACCAGAACTACAGACTCAATTAGGAATCCGTTTTTTTAAAAAAACTTAAAAAGAAATCTACTTTGTGGGATTTGAGACAGTTTGCAAACCATGCTTTCTTGAGATCCTTAAAACGTTGCTTTTTTTCGTTCCTTTCTCTCTTTTTTTTTTTGATCAGTTTCTCCGTGCCGAACTGCACATTTGCAAAACTCCCAATGGCCACGAGAATTTAAGCCCGAGAAAGTTCGTTTTTCCCCCCCCCCGTACCTATAATTCAAAATACCTGCGTTCTCCTCCGGGTTCACACAACTCTGTATTCCTAGGATGGTGCTTGAAGGAAGCGCGGAAGCTGTGAGTTCCCATTCGCTAACTCTGCGTCGGACCTGTGTCCAGAATGGGCGTTTTTACCCTTCGGCGGGGGATAGCCTCCTGTTAACCAAAAAACCAGTGAAATACGGGGAATTGATCGTCCTGGGGTAAGTGAAAACCATTTTTTCCCCCAGTGTTAGGCAGCGGTGAAATCTAAAATTTGTTACTGCCGGTTCTGTGGTCGTGGCTTGGTGTGGGTGGGTGGGTGGGTAATGGGACTGGGTGGGCGTGGCCATTTTTTTTCCTTTTTCCCTTTTAAAACCATTTTTTCTACAACCTCTTCGGCAAAAAAAAAAAATGACGATCCCAGCTGAGTTGCCTGATCGGCAGAGGCTTTTTTTTTTCCTTTTAAATGCCTCTGACGATCAGGGAACTCAGCTGGGATCGTCAGAGGCTTTTAAAAGGAAAAAAAAAAGCCTCTGAGGATTGCGCGGCTCAGCTGGGATCGTCAGCGCCACAGTGGACTAATGCACTGTTATTAACATCTGATGCCTGCAATTACTGCAAGTTCAAATCCCAACCAGGCTCAAGGTTGACTCAGCCTTCCATCCTTTCAAAGGTAGGTAAAATGAGGACCCAGATTGTGGGGGCAATAAACTGACTTTGTATAAAATATACAAAAGTATGAAGGCTATTGCTTAACGCATTGTAAGCCGCCCTGAGTCTCCGGAGAAGGGCGGCATATAAATTAAAGCAAAAAAAAAAAGAGGCTTTTAAAAGCAGAGGTTGTAGAAAAAATGCTTTTAAAAGCCTCTAACGATCCCAGCTGAGCCGCGCAATCATCAGAGGCTTTTTTTTTTACTTTTAAAGAATTTTTTCGGCCAAAGAGGTTGTTTTAAAAATAAAAAAAAAAGCCTCTGATGATTGTGCGGCTCAGTTGGGATGGGAGGTGGGGGAGCAAGGATTTTTGCTACCGGTTCTCCGAACCACCCACCTCCATCGCTACCGGATCGGGCGATCCGGTCCGAACCGGGAGCATTTCACCCCTGGTGTTAGGTAACTTGAGGGTAAAGCAAACAGTTGCGGGAACCGGGTAGACATGGAACCTAACGAAGAGAAGGACTACGGGTGCCATGGTAGCAGTGTTCCAGAGGTTATATTTTCCCGGTTCGGATCGGTTCACCCGAACCGGTAGCGGAAATCATGGGTGATCCTACCCATCCACCCCAGCTCTATGACATCCTATTTAAGCATGTTTTTGTGGAAATGAGGAGGAATTTCCTGACAGGGAGAACAACCAACCCATGTCGGAAGTTGTGGGAGCTTCATCTCTGGAAGCTTTCAAGAAGAGACCGGACTGCCATTTGTCGGAAATGTAGGGTCTCCTGCTTGGGTGGGGGGTTCGGCTAGATGACCTCCAAGGTCCCTTCCAACTCTGTTCATCTGTTCAACGCAGGTACAATGGCTCTCTGGCTAACGGAGACAAAGGCCGTCACCGCAGCCGGCTGGCGCTCTACAAGCGACCCAAAGCCAACGGCGTGAAACCCGATGTCATCCACCATATCTCCACGCCACTGATGTCCAAAGTAAGTCAAACAACCCACCGTGGTTACAGAAATGACCCCCTCCCTTCCACCGCCCCGCCCCCCCGGCAATGAGTCTTCGGAGAGGGGCGGCATATAAATTTAATTAATTAAATTAAATTAAATTAAATTAAACGGTATTGCCAGATCTCACTGGGGAGCTATTTAAACCTCTGGCTGTGTTTAAACACGGATTCTGAGCATGGGCAAAGTTCTTTTCCTGCCCCATCCGGAACCACCACCAATGGCTCTGAATGGGGGAATGTAGTCTGAATTACAGGCAGTCCTCGACTTACAACAGTTCATTTAGCGACCGTTCGAAGTGACAACAGCACTTGGAAAAAGGGACTTATGACCGTTTTTCCACACTTACGACTGTCACAGCATTCCTGTGGTCACGCGATCAAAATTCAGACGTTTGGCCACTGGCTCCTACTTAATGACGGCTGCAGAGCCCCTTCTGCGACCTTTTGATAAGCAAAGTCAATGGGGGGGATGCCAGGTTCACTTAACGACGGTGTGACTAATTTAACACCTGCAGCGATTCACTTAACAACCGTGGCAAGAAAGGTCATGCAATGGGCTAGAAGTGACACTTAACAAGTGTCTCGCTCAGCAACATAACTTTTTGGGCTCAAAAGACGGGCACATTTCATCATATGTGGTGGACTTGTGCTAGGACAAAAAAATTAATTGGGGGCAAAAATACACAAATGGCTAGGAAAGATAATATGGAAACAGATAGATTTTAAACCTGAACTGGTTTTATTAGGGACTAGCTGGACGCCCGTGCTTCGCTACGAAACTATGTGCTCGGGCTTGATAAATTGACACTGAAACTTAATGTAGAATGTATAACTCCGTAGCTTCAGAGTGTGTTAATATAATGCAACTGGCAGTTGGAACAGAGGGAGAGTGGGAGTAGAATGTCCCAGCTCACAGCATCCATCGGTATTCATCTGGCTAGCATCCTCTCAGTGTGTGAGAGAGCTGAGGGATGTTTTGAAACTCAAACAATATTTGCTGTGTGAGCAAGAAGGAGACAGGAAGGAGGCTGGGCATGGCTTAGCTCAACTGTTCTGTAGTAAAGCTGCTTGCTGCTGTGAAAGTAAAACTGAAAGTGAAACTCCTCTCCTCTGCTTGTGTGTTGCATTTGGCACAGATTCCTTTTCAGGTGGGGAGGGGGAGTAGAACTCCTTAGCATCAGAGTGTGTTAATAATAATATAGGAAATAATGCTCTGATGGTCATTTTGAAAAATCCTTTCTTAGCGAGCACCTAGAAGCCAAGAGGAACATATGTGGCAAATTTCAAGTTTGTAGGCTTTACGGTTCTGGAGATTTTGTGATTACGGCGTGAGTGGTTTTCGCTTTTATATCTATAGATGATATCAGAAAATTTTGATAAGAAAAATACGTATTTAGTAATGACATGTTTTAATACCAGCAAGAATTATTTTGGCACAATATTGGAAAGATGAAGAAACACCGCAAGATGAAGAGATAATTAAGATGATACTAACTAGTCTGTGCAGGAATGGATAGGCTGACACTGAAAATCAAACAGAAAGAAGACACAGAATATTATTAACCCTGGAATTTATTCTACCAGTGGTTGGAAAAAAGGGGTGGAGAGTAAGAATGGAATCTGTATATCGTTAAGCAAATTAAATAGCCCAGACCATACGATGTGTATTAAGCATTAAGAAATGTAACTAATAGAAAATTAATAAAATGTATTTTTTTAAAAAAAAGTCGGGCTCAAATTGCCATCGTAACTTTGAACCGTCACTAAATGAACTGTTGTAAGTTGAGAACTACTTCTCTGCTCCAACAGGCCCTGAGCGACAGAGGTCAACATAGCATCTCCTATACGCTTTCCCGAAGCCATTCGGTCATTGTCGAATATACTCAAGATGGCGAGACGGACATGTTCCAGGTATTTATCGGGAGGGGACACCTTTGTGGGGCCTCCAGAGATGACGTGATGGACAGTCCAAGGGGAAGGTGTTTAGCCCCCTCTAAAAGACAAATTTGCGGTCAGGGCCGGATTTAGATGAAAAGAGGCCCTAGGCTATTCCTCTTATGAGGCCCTTTCACCTATAGTGAAAGTGTAATTTTAATTTTGCTAACAATTTGAATGTAGGCCCCTCTTGATCTTGAGGCCCTAGGCTGAAGCCTAGTTAGTCTATAGGAAAATCCGGCCCTGTTTGCGGTGGATAGGCTCACAGCGTCAACTCTGGAGCTGGCCTGACCGAGGCCATTTTGAGGCTCCAGGCAGGGGTAAAATCCAGCAGGTTCTGACAGGTTCTGGCAAACCGGTAGTGGAAATTTTGAGTAGTTCGGAGAACCGGTAGCGGAAATTTTGAGTAGTTTGGAGAACCGGCAAATACCACCTCTGGCTGGTCCCAGAGTTGGATGGGAATGGAGATTTTGCAATATCCTTCCCCCAGGAGTGGGGAGAGAATGGGGATTTTATTTATTTATTTATTTATTTATTTATTTATTTATTTATTTATTTATTTATTTATTTATTTATTTATTAGTTCGATTTATATGCTGCCGTTTTCCGGAGACTCGGGGCGGCTTACAATGCATTAAGCAATAGCCTTCATACTTTTGTATATACCTGCTTAGTAGGGCTTTCGGGGGCCGCCTAAGCGGTGTTCTTTTTTATACAAAGTCAGTTTATTGCCCCTACAATCCGGGTCCTCATTTTACCTACCTCGGAAGGATGGAAGGCTGAGTCAACCTTGAGCCTGGTGAGATTTGAACTTGCAGTAATTGCAGGCAACTGGCAGCTAAGTACTGCTTTAACAGCACTTAGTCCACTGCGCCACCCAGGCTCCTCAATTTTGCAGTATGCTTCCCCTGGAGTGGGGTGGGAATGGAGATTTTGCAGTATCCTTCCCCTGGAGTGGGGTGGAAATGGAGATTTTGCAGTATCCTTCCCCTGCCACGCCCACCAAGCCACGCCCACCAAGCCACACCACACCCACCAAGCCATGCCCACAGAATCGGTAGTAAAAAAAATGTTGAATTTCACCATTGGCTCCAGGGTTGCCACAAGGGAGATGTGGGTTAGGGGGGGAAGGGAGAATAGAGATAGGATTCGGTAGCCAAAACAAAATATTTTCTCTTGAGAATCAAGGACATTTCTACAGGTGGCTGAAGAAAGGAGGAGCAATGTTGCCCAAGCAATTGGGTCTCACCCTGATTGGACCATGTGACCGATTATTTGGGACGGGAAGGGGAAAAATGTTTACTTTTAATTAGGTGAAAACGGGGGGGGAGGGGACATTTAGAGTCAGTTTTCACCAGCCTGCGCCAATATGATCTATCCAATAAAACTATTCTTTGAGGAACCTACCTGCCTTGGAATTCTGTTTGCTATGGATGTATTACTTGGAACCCTGACACACAGTAGACTGGGTGGCACAGTGACTTAATGGTTAAAGAGTCTTGGCTTGTCGGCTGGAAAGCCGGCTGTCCAGGTTCAAGACCCGAGTGCCACATCACAGGACGAGTTCCCCTCCTCACCTCAGCTCCTGCCAACCTAGCATGCCAACGCGAGTAGATAAATAGGTACCACTTCGGTGGGAATGTCAGAGCGCGCTCAATTGTGGTCTTAAGTCGAGAATTACTTGTACGCTGGCCAGAGACAGAAATATTTTAAAAACAGCAATAAAAAAAATAAATCCACCTTAGATTGACCGCTAGAGAAAAATAAAACCAGCATTTTGGAAAGAAGGGAAAAAATGTCCGCTTCATGATAAAAGGAAAAACGTTCGCTTCTTGTGAAAGTTTTACTCGCTGACTCGCGTCTCCTCCTTCTCCCCATCTCTCTATTCCCAGATCGGCCGCTCGACGGAGAGCATGATCGATTTTGTGGTGACTGACACCACGCCGGGCACAAACTCATCCGTGGATGGACAGACAGCCCAAAGTACTATATCCCGCTTTGCCTGCCGAGTCATCTGCGAAAGAAACCCTCCGTACACTGCCCGGATTTACGCCGCCGGTTTCGACGCTTCCCGCAACATTTTCCTTGGAGTGAGTGAGTCACCAAGCAGTTCTTGTGTGCGTAATGTGTGTGTACAGGTAGTCCTCGACTTACAATAGTTCACTTAGTGATCATTCAAAGTTACGAAGGCACTGGGTCTTCCGGTTTGGCGTTGCGGCGAGGTAGTCGGGGAATTAGCGGGCTCCGATGAGCTCCGGGAAAACCCCGGCTGACGAACCACTGCTGATGGGTTTGCAGATCAGAACCGTCCTGCAGGGACAGGGAAGAAAGAGAGGCATCTCGGATGACCAAGAGGAGCAGACAAGAAGGCAGAGCCTTCTGCGCATGTGCAGAGGGCCAAAAACGGGATGTGATGACGTCTGGCCGGGTAGGTGGAGCCTCCCGCTGCCGGCGCTACCGGTTCTTCCGAGCCAGATAGAACCAGCTGAATTTCACCACTGCTTATGACCATTTTTCAGAGTTACAACCTTTGCAGCATCCCCGTGATCACATGATCAAAATTCAGACGCTTGGCCCGCTGGTTCATATTTATGACCATTATAGAATCCTTGGGGGGAGGGGGGAGGCGATGTCACGTGACCCCCTTTTGCGACCTTCTGAGAAGCAAAGTCACTGGGGGAAGCCGGATTGACTTACCAACTGGATTACTAATTTATCAAGTGCAGGGATTCACTTAACAATGGTGGCACGGGATTTTGCCTCCATTTTATGATCTTTCTTGCCACGGTCGTTAAGGGGGAATAGCCGCCTTATTTAGTAACACGGTTGTGAAGTGAATCTGGACTCCCTTATTGACTTTGCTTGTCAAACGGTCACAAAAGGGGATCACGTGACCCCAAGGACACTGCGACGGTCATAAATATGAACCTTTCGCCAAATATCTGAATTTTGATCACGTGATCACGGGGATGCGGCAAATGGTCGTAAATGTGAAAAACGGTCCTAAGTCACTTTTCTCCGCCCTTTTGTAACTTTGACCGGTCACTAAATGAACTGCAGTATTTTAAGGACTATCTGTATTTTTCTTCACGGACCCAACGCAGCACAGTCGTTTTTGCAACTGACCGACCAAATGATCAAATGCCCGTTTAAAACTCAAATATTTCCACCTATGGCAATGAGAAGGTTTGAACGTGTGTGTGCGTGTGTGTGGTAACTTCGTACTGTTGCTAAACGAACAAGTTGTAACTCAGGGATTACCTAGAGTCTGGTTGTCTTTCACTTGAGTAGGTTTGAGTGAGGAGCAGTGGTGGGGCATTGGCCAACCAGGACCTTAAAACCAGACTTCAATGCCACGTCTCTCTCATTGGCAGGAGAGAGCAGCAAAATGGAGAACACCCGATGGGCTCATGGATGGCTTGACCACGAACGGCGTGCTTGTAATGCACCCGAACGGCGGTTTTAGCGAAGACTCCACCCCGGGAGTCTGGCGGGAGATCTCGGTCTGCGGGAACGTCTACGCTCTGCGGGACAGTCGCTCCGCACAGCAGCGGGGAAAGCTGGTAGGTGATGTGGCCCGCCATTGGCAAGCGGAGCTGGTAGCAGACTCAGACAGTGAGGAGGTTGGGAAGGAACATGGGCCAGTCCTGGAGTCTGGGAAAGGCTCTGATGAGGGCTCTGCGTCGGAGGCAGAGAGGGGGCCAGAGCCTCTGACAGTTGTCAGCTGCCTTCAGAGTCAGATATCAGTGGGGCAGAAGAACAGCTGAAGCCTGTTCCCAGCGTACACATGCGCAGGGTTGCCAGACGAAGGGAACAGCTAAAGAACAAGGGTCGACTCAGGAGTAAAGCCACAGGTGGACGGTGAATAGCCCCTCCCATAGGGAATAAAAGAGGAGCGAAAGGGAAGGGCAGTTTGCAGGAGACAATTAGTTCACCTAATTGGTTCATGACCCTCCGAGACGCCTTGCCAAGTTTTGAAGATATCGACCTGGCAGCTCTCCAAGCCAGATAAGGTCTGTGACTGTAAATTCTCCCTTGAAAAACTTTGCTGGATGTGAATGAGAGGAATTCACAGTAACTTAATCAAAAAGAGTTTTTGTCGGGACAAGGAATTTGCTTCCTGCTCTTGGGAAGCCTAGCTCGGAACAGTAGGTTGGCAACTCAACAGAGAAGAGTGGATTATAAATCAAGATTTATCCACCGAGAGTGGATTATAACTCAAGATTTATAAGGTTTAGGAGAAGGAGGAGATTCAGGAGTGCAAAGAGCAAGACAGATAATTAGGGGATAGAACATACGAAAAAAGTTTGCAGGATTTGGGTAGTTTAGTGAAAAGAAGGACTAGGGGTGACATGATAGCAATCGTCCAATATTTGAGGGGCTGCCATATTTGAGGGGGGTCAACTTATTTTCCAAAGCATCAGAAGGCAGGAGAAGAAGCAACGGATGGAGACAAATCAAGGAGAGAAGCAACCTAGAACTAAGGAGAAATTTCCTGACAGTGAGGACAATTAACCAGTGGAACGACTTGCCACCAGAGGTTGTGGGTGCTCCATCACTGGAGGTTTTTAAGAAGAGATTGGATAACCATTTGTCTGAAATGGAATAGGGTTTCCTGCCTGAGCAGGGGGGGTTAGACTAGAAGACCTCCAAGGGTCCCTTCCGACTCTGTTATTAATCTCTTCTTTTCTATTCTCCCTCGATGCTAGGTGGAAATGGAGTCCAACATTCTGGAGGACGGCTCCCTCATCGACCTCTGCGGGGCCACGCTCCTCTGGCGCACTTCGGAGGGGCTCCTGCGCACCCCAACTTTGCAACAGCTGGAGCTGCTGCGTCAAGAGGTCAACGCTGCCCGGCCCCAGTGCCCGGTTGGCTTCAGCACCCTGGCCTTCCCCAGCCTGGCCCAACGAGGCATGGTGGAAAAACAGCAGCCCTGGGTGTACATCAACTGTGGCCACGTCCACGGTTTTCACAACTGGGGGTTCCGTAAAGAGAAAGGGGGGCTGGAGCGCGAGTGCCCCATGTGTCGGCGGCTGGGCCCTTACGTGCCTCTCTGGCTGGGCTGCGAGGCCGGGCTGTATCTGGACGCCGGACGCCCCACTCACGCCTTCTGCCCTTGCGGCCACGTCTGCTCCGCCAAGACTGTCCAGTATTGGTCGCAGATCCCGCTGCCGCACGGCACCCATGCCTTCCACGCCGCCTGCCCCTTCTGCGGCACCTGGCTGACCGGCCAGCAGGGTTTCGTCCGGCTCATTTTCCAGGGACCCCTCGACTGAGCCGGAGAGAGGGGGAGGCGTAGCAACACGGCCCGCCTGGCGGGGGAGACGGTTGGAGAATAAACCACAACCTCCGCTGGCCGCCGTGGACCGCTCAATCTCGTCATTTGATTGTACTGGACTTTGCATCGGCCGGACGGCCACCGCATCTCTTCCCATCCAAGCATTTTGGGGAGGGGGGGGCAGGATTCGATTCCAATTTGAGGAAGACGGATTCTCCTCAGTCCGCCCACCCCACCCCCATCCTCGCCTCCTTCCCCGGGACCCAGTCGTTCCCTTCCCACTTAGAACCCGTCGCCGAGAAGCAGAGGTTCGCACAAACGGGGGACTTCAGTGGTTCCCGAAATGGGAAGCACGTCGTTTTGGGGCCAGGGGGCATCCGAAAGCCAGCCAGCCGATTATCTTCAAACAGGGTATGCATCGACAGAGGAAGCTCGACTCGAAATCCGTTGCTTGGGCATTGTAGGCGATCTGCACGCTGCCGTCGCGATTTCTTGAACCCAGGTTTAGGGTTGCTGTGTGTGAACCCAGCCTAGATCCGATCGATGGGGCAAGCCCAGGAGAGCTTTGCTGTTGCTAACAGAGATATATATATATATATATCCATTATACGGTGTGGGTCTCTTATTTATGTACTGTCTCCCGCCTTTATTTTGTACAACTCAAGGTTGCACCTGTAAGGATCCTTCCTCGTACAGTCTTTCTTTCTTTCTTTCTTCTTTCTTTTATTTGATTTATATACCGCCGTACTCCCGAAGGACTCAGGGCGGTGAACAGCCAACAATAAAATACAGATATACAAAATTTAAAAAGCAGAAATAAAATCGAATTAAATAGCTTGGCCCAGACAAATTAAAACCCCAATCAATTTAAAACAAATTTAAACTTTGAGTATTAAAAATATTAAAATTATTAAAATTGTTTAAAAAGAGGGAGAAAGTTAGGCCAGGCCCGCCTGGTGGAATAAAAAGGTCTTTAGAGCGCGACGGAAGGTGCGCAGATCTGGGATCCTCCGTGTCTCTGGGGGGAGCTCGTTCCAGATAGTAGGTGCCCCCACAGAGAAGGCTCTCCCCCTAGGGGCCGCCAGTCGACATTGTTTGGCCGACGGCACCCGGAGGAGCCCCTCTCTATGAGAGCGTACCGGCCGGTGGGAGGCTATTGGTGGTAGTAGGCAGTCCCGCAAGTACCCAGGTCCTAAGCCATGGAGCGCTTTAAAGGTGGTAACCAAAACCTTGAAGCACACCTGGAAGACCACCGGGAATCAGTGCAGCTCGCGCAGGAGGGGTGTTACGTGGGAGCGCCATGTCGCTCCCATAACCACCCGCGCGGCCGCACTCTGCGCCAATTGGAGCCTCCGGGTGCTCCTCAAGGGGAGCCCCATGTAGAGAGCGTTACAATAGTCCAGGCGGGAGGTGACGAGGGTATGAGTGACTGTGCGTAAGGAGTCCCGATCCAGAAAGGGACGCAACTGGCGAATCAGGCGAACCTGATAAAAAATCCTCCCGGTCACAGCCGTCAGTCCCCACAACAACAACTGTAACCGAGTTGGAAGGGACTTTGGAGGTCATCTAGTCCAACCCCCTGCTCATACAGGAGACCTACCATATACTAGGGATTCGAACCGCCAAACTGCCGACTTTCTGATCGACAAGCTCAGTGTCTTAACCGCTGAACCACCTAGTCAGGCCAAACTGCAACGTGAATTGGGCTGAGTGAGAAGGACAGGTCCCAAAGTCATTAAACTGATTTTTCACGCCTGAAACTCAATGCAATACCTTCGCTGCCACCCCATCAGAACGTCTCTATTTTAATTTTCTCTTAGTCATCCGTTGGAATTCGGGGTCTTCTCGGGGCCTAAATTAAAACCCTTTGCATTCCTCTCCCAATTGAGAGGAAAAGTTTTATTTTATAATGCGATGCTTCTCAGCCTCCGCGACTTTAATATGTGTGGACTTCAACTCCCAGGATGGTGCCTGAGGAATTCTGGGAGTTAAAGTCCAACCCTCTCAAAACAAGCTGACTGGGGAACTCTGGGAATTGACGTCCTTCCGCCTTAAAACATGCTGGGGAATTCTGGGAGTTGAAGTCCAGCTAACTTAAAGCATGCTGGGCTGGGGAATTCTGGGAGTTGAAGTCCTCCCATCTTAAAGCAGGCTGACTGGGAACTTTGGAATTGAAGTCTTTCCGCCTTAAAACATGCTGGCTGGGGAATTCTGGGAGTTGAAGTCCAGCTAACTTAAAGCATGCTGGCTGGGGAATTCTGGGAGTTGAAGTCCTCCCATCTTAAAGCAGGCTGACTGGGGAACTCTGGGAATTGAAGTCTTCCGCCTTAAAACATGCTGGCTGGGGAATTCTGGGAGTTGAAGTCCTCCCACCTTAAAACATGGGAAATCTGGGAGTTGAAGCCCACCCCTCTTAAAGCATTATGGGTGAGGAATTCTGGAAATTGAAATCCATTCATCTTAAAGCTGCCATGGTTGACAAACACTGTTCTAATTTATTTCTCCATCCAAAAAAGGACATTAGAAAAAAATTTGCATGTGTGGGGTATGGTTTTTGTAATATCTCTTTGTTTTTCCCGTAACGTGCTTCTCCTGTTTTACACTTCCAAATTAACCAGGATTTTTTAAGTTGGTAAAACAGTTAAAGACTCTGCCTGCCCAACATAGGATATTACAAACCAAAAAGTAACTGCAGATTGAAACTAATCAGCTGTTGGATAATGTGTGAAAGCTTTGGTAAGGTTACTTGGTTATGGGGTGAGCTCACCCAGTGAGAAGACCCCAAGGGTTTCTACATCCCACCTCGAAGGGGTGCACCCTCCTCCCTTCAAGACTTCCTACATTATGAACCTCCAAAGGAAAAAAAGGGAAAATGCAATATGGATCTCACCTGGGACTTAATGCAAAGAGCTTCACCATCATCTCAAATGGTGAAGTTGGGATACAATCAAGATCATATGAAGTAGTAATACCGCTTTATAAAGCCTTATTAAGACCACATTTAGAATATTGCATCCAGTTTTGGTCAGGTATTATAAAAAAGATGTAGACACTCTGGAAAGAGGGAGGGAGGGGAAATAAAAGAGGTATGGATGGATGGATGGAAAGGAAAGAGAAAGGAAAGAAAGGAAAAGGAAAAAAAAAAGAAAAAAGATACAGGAAGGAACAGGAGAGAATAGGAGGGAAGGAGGAAGAAAAAGAAGGAAAGAAAGGGAAGGAGGAAAGAAGGAAGGAGACAGTGAGGGGGAGAAAGAAGGAAGGAGGGAGGAAAAGAAAGAAAAAGAAAAAAATAGGAAGGAAGGAACAGGAGAGAATGGGAGGGAAGGAGGAAGAAAAAGAAGGAAAGAAAGGGAAGGAAGAAAGAAGGAAGGAGATGGGGAGGAAAGAAGGAAGGAGGGAGGAAAAGAAAAAAAGGATACAGGAAGGAAGGAAGGAACAGGAGTTAGTGGGAGGGAAGGAGGAAGAAAAAGAAGGAAAGGAAGAAAGAAGGAAAGAAAGGGAGGGAGGAAAGAAGGAGAGAATGAGGGAGGGAGGAAAGAAGGAAGGAGGGAGGAAAAGAAGAAAAGGATACAAGGAGGAAGGAACGAAGGAGAGAAAGAAGGAGGAAGAAAAAGCAGGAAAGGAAGAAAGAAGGAAAGAAAGGGAAGGAGAAAAGGAAGGAAGGAGACAATGAGGGGGGGAGGAAAGAAGGAAGGAGGGAGGAAAAGAAAGAAAAAAGAAAAAAAGGATACAAGGATGCAGGAACGGAGGAGAGAATGGGAGGGAAGGAGGAAGAAAAAGGAAAGAGGGAAGGAGGGGGGAAGAAAAGAAAGAAAGAAAGAGAATGGGAGGGGGGAGGAAGGAACGAAAAGAGGGAAGGAAGGAAGGAGTGGACGGAGGGAGGGAGAAAATGCTTAGCGCATTGTAAGCCGCCCTGAGTCTCCGGAGAAGGGCGGCATATAAATCAAATTAAAAAAAAAAAAAACAAGATTAAAAAAAAATCAGAAAGCAAGCAAGAATCGAAGCCAAAAGAAAAAAAAAAGAAAAGGCGGGTCTTCGGTCTCCCAGCAACGCCGCTATCCGCCTCATTGGCTGGATGTGCCCGGGAAGGGAGGGGTGCGTGGGTGGGCGTGTCCGCCCGATCGCAGAGCCGAATGGAGGAGCCGAGAAGGGGGCGTGGCAGGAAGTTGGAAGTCGCGCAAGGGAGGGCGAGCTTGCTGCAGGTGAAGAGGAAACCGATCGGAGCTGTCGGGTTGGTCACGTGGCCGCGGGTGCGGGTACGGGAGAGTCTCGTGGGAACGGGAGCACACGCGTGTAACCCATCCGGGGGTGGGGGGGTCTGACCTCAACCTGCATCCTGGAAGATTGCAGGTGGAGATTTCAGTCGCCTTGGAAATCTCTGGCTTGCAATCAGCCTCTTTTTTTTCCTTTAAAAAAAAAAAGCAAGTTTCTGGTCCTCATGGTTTTGAGAGGAAGGTGGGATTAACCGCAGGGGAAGCTGGTTTGCCTCTTTTATCTTTAAAGAGCACAATTTAGGTCTGGCAAAGGGATTCCCCAGCATGTTGGAGCCTGGAAATGGCTGGCTGGGAGGGAAGGGAAGGGAAGAGAAGGACTTTGTCCCAAAAGTGCCTTTTTTTTCTCTTTTTCCTCCAAGAATCTTAAACTGAGCCTTGGTAGTACAGTGGTCTAAGGCACCCTGTTATTAAGCTGGTTATTAAGACCAGCTGCCTGCAATCACTGCAAGTTCGAATCTCTCCAAGGCTCAAGGTTGACTCAGCCTTCCATCCTTTCTAAGGTAGGTAAAATGAGGACCCGGATTGTGGGGGCAATAAGCTGACTTTGTATAAATATACAAAAGGATGAAGGCTATTGCTTAACGCATTGTAAGCCGCCCTGAGTCTCCGGAGAAGGGCGGCATATAAATCAAATTAAAAACAAAATAAAACAAAAAAAACTGGACTTTCTGGGGTTTTTTTTCTTTGAGGACGTTTCGCTTCTCTCACCCGAGAAGCTTCTTCCGCTCTGACTCCCAATTCCCCACCACATGCAAGGAGGCAGAGAGAGCCCGAAGAAGCTTCCTGGGTGAGAGAAGCGAAACGTCTTCAAAAAAACAAACAAACAAACCAGAAATTCCTTGGGGGGGGGGGGGGAGAAAAAAAAGGACCTTTGGGACAACCGGGAGCTTGGATGACTTTGACAATCTCCATAGACATGGAGAGGCTCAAACTGGCGCTTGGAAAGCCAGAAAAACTGCCCTTCAGGAAGAAGTTAGAATGTTAAAATATGGGTTTGAGGGTTTTTTTTTTTCTCTTTTCCAGGTTTAAAGCAACAGGTTTTTATGCCTGGCAGTTGCTGCTTGAATTCAGGAAGAATCTGAGGTATTGGGAACGAGGAGCCCTTCCTTCCTTCCTTCCTTCTTTCCTTCCTTCCTTCCACCTTCCTTCCTCCTTTCCTTCCACCTTCCTTTCCTTCCTTCCTTCCTTCCACCTTCCTTTCCTTCCTTCCTTCCTTTCTTCCACCTTCCTCCTTCCTCCTTTCCTCCTTCCACCTTCCTTCCTCCTTTCCTATCTTCCTTCCTTCCCTCCTTCCCTTCCTCCTTCCCTTCCTTCCTTCTTTTCTTTCTTCCATTTTCCTTCCTCCTTCCCTTCCTTCCTTCCTTCTACCTTCCTTCCTCCTTCCCTTCCTTCCTTCCTTCCTTCTTCCTTCTTCCTTCCTTCTACCTTCCTTCCTCCTTCCCTTCCTTCTTCCTTCCTTTCTTCCACCTTCCTTCCTTCTTCCTTCCTTCCACCTTCCTTCCTTCCTTTCCTATCTTCCTTCCTTCCTTCCCTCCTTCCATCTCTTCCTCCTTCCCTCCCTTCCTTTCTTCCACCTTCCTTCCTCCTTCCCTTCCCGTATCCTGACTTTATTTTATTAATAAATAACTCAAGGCAGCAAACGTATCCAATGCACTTTCCTCTTCCTATTTTTCCCCACAACAACCCTGTGAGGTGGAATGGATTGGAGAGAGCAACTGGCCTAAAATCACCCAGTTGGCTTTCATGCCTAGGGCGGGACTAAACTCTCAATCTTCTGGATGATGGCCCAAAGTCACCCAGGTGGCTTTCATGCCTAACGCGGGACTAGAACTCACCATCTCTTGATGATTGGCCCCAAGTCACCCATCCGGTTTTCATGCCTAAGGCAGAACTAGAACTCACTGTCTCCCAGTTTCCAGCCTGCTGCCTTAACCACTAGACCAAACTGCCTATGTTTATAATAAAGATATTTTTTATAAGAAAGTACATACCGTGACTGGCTGAAGGACGACGTCTTGGTTTCTCCCTTTTCCAGGTTGGCGTCATGGTGGACTCGCACTACGTCTTACCCAACGACATTGGGATCGCGACGTTGGATTGTGCCGAAGCGTTTGAGCTGTTGTCCCCGGAAGAGAAACTCTATGCTCATTACTTGTCACGAGCTTGCTGGTATGGGGGACTGGTAGTCCTGTTGCAAACGTCCCCGGAATCTCCTACCATTTACGTCCTCCTCTCCCGCATCTTCCGAACCCAGGACCCGAGTAAGTTACAAGAGGTGGCCCGTTCGCTCGGCATCACAGATGAAGAATATCAGGTAATCAATCGACCGGAATAGAGCTGGAAGGGGCCTTGGAGGTCTTCTAGTCCAACCCTCTGCTCGAGCACCTTGGCAAATTTAAGACTTGTGGACTTCAACTCCCAGAATTCCTCAGCTTTGCTGGCTGAGAATTCTGGGAGTTGAAGTCTTAAAGTTGCCAAGGTTGGAGACCTCCGTCCTATACCATTTCAGACAAATGGCCGTCCAATTTCTTCTTAAAAATCAATCGGAACAGAGCTGCAAAGGGACCTTGGAGGTCTTCTAGTCCAGCCCCCTGTTCAAGCAGGAGACCCTATACCATTTCAGACAAATGACTGTCCAGTCTCAAAGACCTCCAGTGATGGAGATACCCACAACTTCTAGTGGCAAGCTGTTCCACTGGTTAATTGTCCTTACTGTTAGAAAGTTTCTCCTTAATTCCTGGTTGCCTCTCTCCTTGATTAATTTCCATCCGTTGCTTCTTGTCTTGCCTTCCGGTGCTTTGGAGAATAATTTGACCCCTCCTCTTCTTTGTGGCAGCCCCTCAAATATTGGAAGACTGTTATCATGTCTCCCCTGGTCCTTCTTTCCTTTAGACTGGCCATTCCCAATTCCTCAACCGTTCTTCATATGTTTTAGTCTCTAGGCCCTTTATCATCTTAGTTGCTCTTCTCTGCACTTTTTCCAAAGTCTCAACCTCTTTTTTGACCAAAACCGGATGTCGTATTCCAGGTGTGGCCTTACTAAGGTTTTAATAAACCGATACTAATATAATAATATAATAAGAGAGTTGGAAGGGACCTTGGAGGCCTTCTAGTTCAACCCCCTGCTTATTACCTCACGTGATTTTGATTCTATGCCTTTGTTTGTGCAACCAAGGATTGTATTTGCTTTTTTGTCTGCCGCCGCTTGCTTTCTGAGGTTGTTGGCTATTCCTGCCAGCTTAGCGTCATCTGCAAATGTGATGAATTCTTCTTCTATCCCCTCATCTACGTCATTTGTGAAGATACTGAAGAGTGCTGGACATAATTTTGTGCTAAAGTCCTGGAGATTGTTTTTCTTTCGTGTCCTGCTTTCCGTTGACCGCACTTTTTTGTAAATAATTAAGCTCTGGTTTTATAAAAATTTTTTAAGGCAAATCAAATGGAATTCTCCCTTGCAGGCCTTTCTGGTTTACACGGCGGCCATTTATGCCAACATGGGCAATTACAAGTCCTTCGGTGACACCAAATTTGTTCCCAGCCTTCCCAAGGTGAGCGCCAAAAAAAAGGTATAATGGGTGGGATCAGCTTTTTAAACTTCTGTCCTTCAACCAATCAGAAAGCTCCTTGGGCCTCATTGGGCAAGAAGTTGATAGAGGGGGCGGAGTCTTGACAGTGGCTCCACCCCTCTTGGGCGTTGAACATTTTTACTTTGATGTTTATTGTCATTTTTTTTCCTCAGGTCCATTTTGATTTTTTGATTTTCATTTTTATTTTGTTTCAAAAAAAATTTCATTCATGTTTAATTTGATTTCTGATTTTGTTTTTAATTTTCATTTTTTTTCCCTCACTTTCAGTTTGGCTTCCTTTTAGTTTTCGTTTTATTTTCATTTTTATTTCCTTTCATTATTCCTTTCCTCGCCTTTATTTGTATTTTATTTCAGTTTTCCATCATTAATTTGAGTTCTTTTGTTTTCATTTTTGTTTTGCTCTAATTTCAATTTTATTTTCTTTTTCTTTTGTTTTTCCCTTCATTTTTCTCCTTTTTCATATTTATTTTGATTCTTTTCATTTTGATTTTTTTTTTAAAAAAATAGCAATAGCAATAGCCTTTATATACCTCTTTACAGCCCTCTCTAAGTGGTTTACAGACTCAGCATATTGCCCCACAACAATATACAGTATTTTTCGGACTATAAAATGCACCTAAATTTAGAAGTGGTAAACAACACGAAAAAAGTATTTGTCCTCCACATGTTCCATTTTCTGCCCTTTTTTCAGGCCTTGCTTCTGTCCTTTTCCATCCTTTTATCGGCCTGCTTTTTCAGAAAAAAGGATCCAAAATAAGCCTCAAAAAACAGGCCGAAAAAAGCCTCAAAAACGGCCCGAAAAAGCCTAGAAAATGGGCAGAAAAAAGCCTCAAAAAATGGGCTGGAAAAAGCCTCAAAAATAGGCCGGAAAAAGCCCCCAAAACAAGCCGAAAGAAGCCTCGAAAACAGGCTGGAAAAAGCCTTGAAAACGGGCCAAAAAAATGGGCCGGAAAAAACCCCCAAAAGAAGCTGAAAGAAGCCTCGAAAACAGGCCGAAAGAAGCCTCGAAAACAGGCCGAAAGAAGCCTTGAAAACAGGCTGGAAAAAGCCTTGAAAACGAGCCAAAAACCGGGCTGAATAAAGCCCTGAAAATGGGCCGAAAAAAGGCCTGAAAACGTGCGGAGGCCAAAAAACGCCCGGGGGGAGAGGGGGGGGCTTTGCCAATATTCCGTCTATAAGTCGCACAGACATTTTCACCCCCTTTTGGGAGACAAAATTGTGCATTTTATAATCCAAAAAATACGATAGGTCCTCATTTTACCCAGCTGGGAAGGACGGAAGGCTGAGTCAACCTTGACTCTACTTTATCTTTTTACTTTTATCTCTTTGTTCCTTTTTTTTTTTTTTCTAGGAAAAACTGAAGAAGCTGGTGTGGGCGAGCCAGGCGTTTTTGCAAAACCCGAAAGAGATGGAAGCTTTGTGGGAGAGCTGCGAGAAGCTAATGTACTCGCTGGAGCCCCTTCAGAGGCATTTAGGGCTCAGTGGGGAGGTATTGTCCTTGGGCCCTTCTCAGCCCCATTTCTAGTGGGGGTGGGATCGGCCATTTGGGCTGTGGGGGGGGGGGCTCTGACATCCACGCCTAGAACTCTCAGGGTACCTGTCCCCCCTTTCTTCCTTGTCTTTAGGGGGTTTCGACGTACTTCTCTGCAAATTGTTCCATGGAAGATGCGAAGCTGGCTCAGAAATTCCTGGATTCTCAGGTACCGTAGGAGTTCTGGGCTGCATTAACAGAGGGATAGAATCAAGATCACGTGAAGTGTTAATACCACTTTATAATGCCTTGGTAAGGCCACACTTGGAATCCTGCATCCAGTTTTGGTCACCACGGTGTAAAAAAAATGTTGAGACTCTGGAAAGAGTGCAGAGAAGAGCAAAAAAGAGGATTAGGGGACTGGAGGCTAAAACATATGAAGAACGGTTGCAGGAACTGGGTATGGCTAGTTTAATGATAAGAAGGACTAGGGGAGACATCATAGCATCTTCCAATATCTCAGGGGCTGCCCCAAAAAAGAGGGAGTCAAGCTATTCTCCAACACACCTGAAGGCAGGACAAGAAGCAATGGGTAGAAACTAATCAAGGAGAGAAGCAACCTGGAACTAAGGAGAAATTTCCTGACAGTTAGAACAATTAATCAGTGGAACAACTTGCCTCCAGAAGTTGTGAATGCTGCAACACTGGAAGTTTTTAAGAAGAGGTTGGACAATCATTTGTTTGAAATGGTGTAGGACAGAGGTCTTCAAACTTGGCAGCTTTAAGACTTGTGGATTTCAACTCCCAGAATTCTCCAGCCAGCATAGCTGCATAATTGGCTGGAGCATAGCTGGCTGGAGAATTCTGGGAGTTGAAGTCCACAAGTCTTAAAAGCTGCCAAGTTTGAAGACCTCTGGTGTAGGGTATCCTGCTTAAGCAGGGGGTTGGACTAGAAGACCTCCAAGGTCCCTTCCAACTCTGTTATTCTGTTCTATTTTCTGAAAGACTGGAAACTTTAGGCATGAAAGCCATTTGGGTGACTTTGGGCCAGTCCGTCCCCCCCCCTCTCTCTGCCCACCTCACAGGGTGGTTGTTGTGGGAAAAATAGGAGAAGGAAGGGGTATTAGGTGGTGTTCACTGCATGGAGTTATTTATAAATATAATAATGACAGGCTAAAAATAAATAACGTTTTTCCAATGCTTTATTCTTTCTTCTGTAGAACATAAGCGCATACAACACCCGGCTATTTAAAACAGAAACCGGAGGGAAAACCAGTTACGAAGTCCGTCTGGCTTCAGTCCTTCTGGATGGTAATGGCTGGAGCCTCCCTCCTCCACCCTTTCTTCTCCCTCTTGTTTGAGTGCAATGGTGACCCGCTAAAGAAAGAACATGAATGGCATTAATTAACATTAAGAACATGTCTCTAAGATGTGAATACGTTGAGGTAGCCCTCGACTTACCACCTGTCATTTAGCGCAGTTAATTAACAAGATGCCTTGTCATTCCTTCTCCTCATCTATTTATTTTCAACATTTTCATGTTATTCTTTACCACCCAGAATGTATAGGAGACTGCCAAATAATAAATAACCCATCCAGAAAGAAATTATATATATTTATATCTTTAAATCTACTATCTACCTATAAAATATATGGGTCAGCATATATAATTTTTCCCCATATAAATAAATTATATATACATGTATCAATTTTATATGTATATACATGTGTGTGTGTGTGTGTGTATAGATATATAAATTATTATTTTTTTCCTACATCACTACTTATGTCTCTGATAGTCTGGCTCCATTACAGCCATAATTTCTTATTTTGGGGGAAACGGTATCTATCCATTATCTATCTATCTATCTATCTATCTATCTATCTATCTATCTATCTATCATCTCTACCTACCTACCCTGTTTCCCCCAAAATAAGACATCCCCTGATAATAAGCCCAATTGGGTTTCTGAGTGCATGGCAATAAGGCCAAGCGCTTATTTCAGGGTTCAAAAAAATATAAGACGGTCTTATTTTTGGGGAAACACGGTATATCAATTATATATATATACATATATCAATATATATATATACAGGTAGTCCTTGACTTACGACCACAATTGAGCCCAGAATTTATGTTGCTAAGTGAAAACATTTGTTAAGTACGTTTTGCCTCATTTTACGACTTTTCTTCCTATGTGAATCATTGCCGTTGTTAAATTAGTAACCTGGTTGTTAAGTGAATCTGGCCTCCCCATTGACTTTGCTTGTCAGAAGGTCACAAAAGGGACACTGCAACCGTCATAAATGCGAGTCAGTTGCCAAGCATCAGAATGTCAGTCATGTGATCGTGGCGATGCTGCACCGGTCGTAAGTGTGGGAAAAGGGTCATAAGTCACTTTTTTTCTGTGAGGTGGTAACTTTCAATGGTCATCAAATGAACTGTTGTAAGTCGAGGACTATTTGTATAGGCCAATCCATCTTTAAAATGCTGAATTCTCTCTCTCTCTCTCTCTCTCTCTCTTCAGAACCCCAACTTGATGAGATGTCGGTCAAACCGAAGGAATTCCAGTTTGAGGGTTGCACGTTTACCGTCACGCGAGGGGATTACAGCCCGATTTTGCAGAGGGTTGTGGAGAATTTGCAGAAAGCGCAGGTAAGGGACGAGCGGAACGGATTTTCTGTTGACCTTTGTTTTAGCAGCTCTCTTCCGAACAAAAGAGAATTGAATTGAATTAAATTCTTTATTGGCCAAGTGTGATTGGACACACAAGGAATTTGTCTTTGGTGCATACGCTCTCAGTGTACATAAAAAGAAAAGATACATTCGTCAAGAATCATAAGGTACAACACTTAATGATAGTCACAGGGTACAAATAAGCAATCGAATCATACTAGGAAACAATATAAATCGTAAGGAGCATTCTGGGAGTTGAAGTTCACCCATTTTAAAATGACTCCGGTTGGGATAGTTGGACTTCAACTCCCAGGATACCGTACACATCAGTTCTGACTAGAGCATTCTGGGAGCTGAAGTCCACCCATCTTAAAATGACTCCGAGTGGGATGGATGGACTTCAATTATTTATTTATTATTTATTTATTATTCAAACTTCTATACCGCCCTTCTCCTTTCGGACTCAGGGCGGTGAACAGCCAAAATAAAACATTTATACATAAAGTGCGTTTAAAAATAGATTTAAAATAATTAAATTTGGCCCATAGTTTAAAATTTATCAATTTAAAATCCATATCAAAATTTAAAATCAAAATTCCCAGGAGTCATCAATTCTGACTAGAGCAGGGGTCTTAAACACTGAAAGAGCCATTTCAACCTGTTTCCCACAGAAAAGAAAACACCGGGAGCCACAAAACCCTTCCCGTGCCTGACTATTTCTTGAGTGCCCACAAAACTAGCATATGAAGTTGAATTAAACCTTCTGTTTTCTTCTGAAACTTTTATTTTCTTGGATTTATCCATGGTTGGCCTACTGGGGTTTGAAAAGCTCAGTAAGTTGTGTGCCGGTGGGTGTCGCACATTGGCAGTTGTGACGCATATTTTGAGTGACAGGGAGCCGCAGCAGAGGGGTGAAAGAGCCACATGCGGCTCCAGAGCCGCAGGCTGCTGACCCCTGGACTAGAGCATTCTGGGAGGTGAAGTTCACCCATCTTAAAAACAGTTACGGTTTGGTTGAGTGAACATCAACTCCCAGAATACCCAAGCTTACAGTGCTGGCTGGGGCATTCTGGGAGTTGAAGTCCACCTATCTTAAGAGGTCTAACTTTGAGAAGCAGTGCTCGGCAGCCTCTCTGTTTCTTCACCAGCAACATACTGCCAGGCCCATTCAGACGGAAATGTTGAAGCACTACACAACCAGCTTCAAGCAGGGCTCCATCCCAGCTCACAAAGAGGGGTCTCGCTGCTGGATTCGCGACAAAGGTCCTATCGTGGAAAGGTGAGCTTTGGCACTGAAAAATAGTGACTTACGACCATTGCAGCCATCCCTATGGTCACGTGATGAAAATTCAGACGCTTGGCAACTGGCTCATACTTACGACGGTTGCGGTGTCCTGCGGGGGGGGCTGTCACATGATCCCCTCTTGCGACCTTCTGACAAGCAAAGTCAATGCAGAAGCCAGATTCACTTAACAACGGTGTTCCTAACTTAACAAATGTAATGATTCACTTAACAACTGTAGCAAGAAACGTCATAACATGGGGCAAACTCAGTTAACAAATGTTTCACTTAGCAGCGTAATTGTGTTGGACACAATTGTGGTCATAACTCGAGGACTACCTGTATAGGATAGCCGGCCATTATCAGGCCTGAAAATAAGATAAATAAAAATTAAATTGAATTGAATTTAAGAAATGAAGTTAAAAAATGAAATTTAATCGAAAATGCAAATCAAAATGAAATTAAAACAAAAAATGCAATGAAATAAAAAAGTGAAATGAATTAAAAAATGAAATTAAATTAAAAAAATGTCATTCAATAAAAAGGCAAAGTGAAATAAAAAAGGTAACAAAAGAAATTGAAATGAAATTAAAAATGAAATTCAATCAAAATGCAATCAAAATGATATGAAATAAAAAGTAAATAAAAATTGAATTAAAAAATGAAATAAGAAAATTAAATGAAATGAAATTTAAATTAAATTCAAAATTAAATAAAATGAAACAAAATTAAAAATGAAATGAAATTATGGAAAAATTAAAACAGTAGTGCATATATATGTCTGTTGATATTTGTTGTCCAATTTGCCTCCACAGCTACATTGGTTTTATTGAGAGCTACCGAGACCCGTTCGGTTCCCGGGGAGAGTTTGAAGGTACTTCCTTTTTGCCATGTGGGAATATTTTAATCCAGTCCATTTACACGGACTTGAAGGGGGAAGATTGGAGAAGGTCAAGGAATTGTCCAACGGATGCCCTAATTAAATCATGAGCCGCAAGCCAAGCTTCAAAAGAAATCCAGTTATTTATTAGGAGCTTTATGTCAGCACGTTCCAAGTGAAGCCAAGTCTGACCCCACGTAATTTACACCTCAATCATGACCCTGTTTTCCCCCTTCCCCCCAGGATGTGTCATCAATCACATTTGCCGACGGAGTTCATGGGCTGTAGAGATCACTCCCCTCCAGCCACTGTGGGTGACCCTGGGAGACAGCCTTGAGAGAGATATGTCTGGAATGTACTTCTGTTTTGGCTGTCGTGGTGCTTCGTCGGTTTCCCATCCCCCTTGCCTATTGCAACTCGAGAGCAGGCCAGGGATGCTTTGCGAGTTGACACTCTTTGAGTGAGGAAGAAACGTAGCTTGCGCCCAGAGCTATGGTTCCGTTTCCCACAAATCAGCTGAGTCTCGATTCTTCCCGCTCGAGTGACAAAAAAAATGAATCCTGTTCAGAGAATTTGCAAGATGCAAGAAGCCCCCCCTGGTCTTTTGTTCATTCTGATCTCCGTCTTTTTCAGGTTTTGTGGCTGTGGTGAACAAAGCGATGAGCGCCAAGTTCGCACAGCTAGTGGCCCAGGCCGAACAGCTCTTGGAAGAACTGCCTTGGCCTCGTAGCTTCGAGAAGGACCACTTCCTGAAGCCGGATTTCACTTCCCTCGATGTGCTGACTTTCGCAGGAAGTGGGATTCCTGCCGGCATCAACATCCCGAATTGTAAGGCTGTGCTAATATTTTGATTTTTTTTAAAAAAATTCATTAGAGCAGTGTTTCTTTTACTCTTTACATTTTTTTAAATTTTTATTGTATATGTTCTGCCCCAGCTACAGACCCCAAAGAACGCAGCACACACGAAGTCCGTTCAAACCTTAGTTTACTAAATAAACCAGTCTTTTACAACAATGACTGTTAATTAACTGCATTAACAGCCACCAATAATTCAAAGAATAATAACTGAAAGCTTACTGTGGTTGGCAGAATGCCCAGAAGCAATTTGCAGGAAGCTGATAAGATAAGCAAGACAAGACGTGAAGGTATGTGAACAAAGTTGTTCCTTGCAAATTGCTTCAGTCGGCATTCCTCCTTAAATAGGCTAAGGGAGTGGCCAATTAGCCCCAAGCCTTACTCTCGAGGAGACCTCCTCCTGAGGAGCCACTCCTGCCTTTTGGCAGCTCTGCGCGCCCGTGCATCGAGAAGAGGCTCCTCCTCTTCGTCCTCTTCACTTATGGGAGCTTCTGGAGGTTCTGAAGGCCCTGTCTGAATCCCTGCCTCTGGCACCACATCTTCCCCAGCCTCCTCATTGTCTGACTCGAGTGCCAGCTGCACAGGCTGCTGGCGCAACACCACACCAGCCTCCTCGCTGTCGGAATCAGCTACTAGCTGCACAGGCTGCTGATGGGCCACAACAGTATAAAATACAAAAAACCAAAAGAAAATAGGAAATTAAGGGCGGGAAAAGGAACGAGAAAAAGAGGGTGTGAAATACAAGGGGGAAGAGAAAAAGAAAGAAAAGGTGGGGGGGCTTGACTTCCAACTCTTCCTAGCACAGTTACAAGATACAACAATTCTATCAAGGTAGTTTGGAGGAAGGGAGCTAAATGCACTATTGAAGTTTAAAGCTTGCATGGCACAGTCAAAGAATAAGGTGCATTAGAAAGGTTTTTTTTTAGTAATTTTTATTTTTTTAAGACAAACAAACATTTAATACATCATGTATTAAAAAGTTTTGATTTAAAACAAAAAGTGCTTTTCCTTGTTTTTGTGTGTTTGTGCGTTTTTAAAAAGTTTAGTACTTTGAGGGAAAGGGGAGGGTGAAAGAAAGGCAGAAAGAAAGGAAAAAATAGTTTTCCCTGCCCCCTTCAGAAAGGCCAAAGAATTTGAAAGAATACAATAAATTTTGTAAATAAAAATGGTAACAGTTCACAAAGATGACCAGGTGCAAATAGAAATACATACTATTTCCATAGCGGGGAAGATAAAAGCAGGAATGGTTAAATTGATTATTTCATTTAAAGAGGAAAATACGTTCTCATTGGGATATCGCTTCTGGAATTTGTGCTTGTGTAGAAGAAAAAAATGAAACTTTGATCCTGGTTTTGTTGATTAGAAAGATTTGGCGTTATAGAAATGGCTAGTTATATATTAATATGTCAAAGCAAAAAAGTTGAGGTTGCAGTCTTGAACAGCAGTGTTTCCCAACACTTGGGTGGACTTCTAACTCCCAGAATTCCCCAGCTATTGTGATTTAATATCTGGATTTGGGGCAGAAAAAACCTTCCCTTTTCTCTGCCCTCAGCCAACCTGGCTTCTATTGGCCCGGGGATGATGGGAACTGTAGTCCACCCTTTCCTCCTCCCTCCTCCTCCACAGATGATGACATCCGCCAGACGGAAGGATTCAAGAATGTCTCGCTGGGGAACGTGCTGGCGGTCGCTTATGCCACCCAAAAGGAAAAACTGACTTTCCTGGCAGAAGAGGACAAAGTACGGCTTCCTTGTGTGTTTGTGTGTTTGTGTGTGTTTGTGTGTCGGAGGACACAATAGAGGAAAGCGGGACTCAGTGGGAAGAGGAAAACTCGAGACATTTAAAGAAAGTAATTAATTAATTACTTTCTTTAATAAAGATTATAATTAAAGAAAAAAAAAGGGACTTTTTGGAAATTTAGATCATGAAGAATGTCTTACTGAAACATGAGGAAGTATTAAGATATTTTAAAATGTTTAACTTGAGATTATAGAGCTTTTAAAAGGCATATATAATTAAATGTTTAAAGAGCCTTGGTAGTACAGGGGTTTAAAGCACCCTGTTATTAAGCTGGTTATTAAGACCAGCTGCCTGCAATTACTGCAGGGTTCAAATCTCGCCAAGGCTCAAGGTTGACTCAGCCTTCCATCCTTTCTAAGGTAGGTGAAATGAGGACCCAGATTGTGGGGGCAATAAGCTGACCTTGTATAAATATACAAAAGGATGAAGGCTATTGCTGAGCACATTGTAAGCCGCCCTGAGTCTTCGGAGAAGGGCGGCATATAAATAAATAAATTAAAAAAATGTTTATGTTTGATGTTACTGAATATTGAAGAATTTTAAAAGGGGAGTTGAAAGAGTGGGAGGGATTTTTGAATTTAATAGTAAGTTAGTATATGTTAGCTTAGGTTTGCTAAATGTTATATCCTGTTTTTGCCCTGGGAAGTCGGGGGGGGGGGGGGGGGAGGGGGGGTTGAGGGGTGCTGGGGATAAAATTGTTTTATGATTTTTAATAAAATAAAAAGAAAGGCAAATGTATTAATAGAGAAGTAAGAAGAAGAAGATATAAAAGAAGTATTAGATGATGTATTCAATGATTGATTATGTATTGTTTGTATGTTTGATTGTAAAAATAAAAAACTTTTGTATTAAAAAAAAGAAAAAAAGGGACATGGTGGCTCAGTGGCTAAGACGCTGAGCTTGTCGATCGAAAGGGTCGGCAGTTCAGCGGTTCGAATCCCTAGTGCTGTCGTGTAACTGGGTGAGCTCCCGTGACTCGTCCCAGCTTCTGCCAACCTAGCAGTTCGAAAGCACGTAAAAAAAATGCAAGTAGAAAAATAGGGACCACCTTTGGTGGGAAAGGAACAGCGTTCCATGCGCCTTTGGGGTTGAGTCATGCCGGCCACATGACCACGGAGACGTCTTCGGACAGCGCTAGCTCTTCGGCTTTGAAACGGAGATGAGCACCGCCCCCTGGAGTCGGGAACGACTAGCACATAAGTGCGAGGGGAACCTTTACCGAGGAATGGCAAAATAACAGAGTTGGAAGGGATCTTGGAGGTGTAGTCCAATCCCCTGCTCACGTCAACGGTGTCTTTTGCAGGATCTCTACATCCAGTGGAAAGGACCTTCTTTCGAAGTCCAAGTTGGCCTCCACGAACTTCTCGGTCACGGCAGCGGGAAGCTGTTTGTCCAGGTAAAACCTGCCTGTCTCTCTAACCAGACCCCAAAACTACAATTGAATTGAATAGAATTAGAGCTGGAAGGGACCTTGGAGGTCTTCTAGTCCAGCCCCCTGCTCAAGCAGGAGAACCTATACCATCTCAGACAAATGACTGTCCAATCTCTTAAAAACCTCAAATGATACAGCACCCCACGATTTCCGGTGGCAAGGCGTTCCACTGGTTAATTGTACTCGCTGTTAGGAAGTTTCTCCTCAATTCCAAGTTGCTTCTCTCCTTGATTAGTTTCCATCCGTTTTTTCTTGTCTTGCCTTCCGGTGCTTTGGAGAATAATTTGACCCTTCCCTCTTCTTTGTGGCAGCCCCTCAGATACTAAAATGCTGCTATCATGTCACCCCTAATTCTTTTCTTCAGACTAGCCAGACCCAAAACCTGCAGCCGTTTGCTTTTCTAGTATTTTTAGCCTCAGGGCTGGATAGCTTCCAAGTGTTCAGGTGCCACATCTGTAAATTTCTGTGGGTCCTCCTTTTCCTAGTTATATTTTTTCTGCGACAACATTGCTTTGACATTAATTTTAGAACATAGAATTCTTTATTGGCCAAGTGTGATTGGACACACAAGGAACTTGCCTTTGGTGTATATGCTCTCAAGTGTACATAAAAAGAAAACATACATTCGTCAAGAATCATAACGTACAACACTTAATGACAGTCATAGGGTAGAAATAAGCAGTCGAATCCTACTAGGAAACAATCAATATAAATCGTAAGGATACAGCAACAAGTTACAGTCATACAGTCATAAATTGGAGGATAGGAACGATGAGAAGATTAATAGTAATAGTAATGCAGACTTAGTGAATAGTTTGACAGTGTTGAGGGAATTATTTGTTGAGCAGAGTGATGGCATTCGGGAAAAAACTGTCCTTGTGTCTAGTTGTTCCGGTGTGCAGTGCTCTATAGTGTCGTTTGGAGGGTAGGAGTTGAAACAATTGATGTCCAGGATGCGAGGGGTCTGTAGATATTTTCCCAGCCCTCTTTTTGACTCGTGCAGTATACAGATCCTCAACGGAAGGCAGGTTGGTAGCCATTGTTTTTTCTGCAGTTCTAACGATCCTCCGAAGTCTGTGTCTGCCTTGTTGGGTTGCAGAGCCAAACCAGACAGTGATAGAGGTGCAGATGACAGACGCCATCATTCCTCTGTAGAACTGGATCAGCAGCTCAGGATGGGCATTTTAACGGCTTTCTCTCTCCCCCCCCCCCTCTTCCTACATAGGATGATTCGGGAGCTTTCAACTTTGACAAGGCTGCCGTGATCAACCCGGAGACGGGAGAATTGGTGAGGATGGACAGAGGGGGGTTAGATGGATATCACATTTATCCTGGCTTGTTGCGTCAATCGTAAGAGAAGGGGTCCCCAACCTCTCTGGGCCACAGCCTGTTCGAAACTGGGCCCCGGGAGGGATGGGGAAGAGAGTGTGCGGGAAACTCCACTCGCGCGAGTGGCCAGCAAGCACGTCCGCGCGTGCAAAATTTATTCACGTGAGCAGAGAGTCACTAAACTGAACTGTTGTAAATCCAGGATTACTGTTCTGACCTAGGTGTTCCCAAGAGCACGAAGCAGACTCCTTGTCCCGACAAAAAGCCCTTTTGATTAAGTTACTGTGAATTCCTCTCAGTCACATCCAGCAAAGTCTTTCAAGGGAGAATTTACAGTCACAGACCTTATCTGGCTTGGAGAGCTGCCAGGCCCGATATCTTCAAAACTTGGCAAGGCGTCTCGGACACTCACGAACCAATTAAGAGCCTCTAGTACAGTAAGAGCCTGTAGTACTGTGGACAAAGCACTGTTATTAACATCTGCTGCTTGCAATTACTGCAAGTTCAAATCTCACCAGGCTCAAGGTTGACTCAGCCTTCCATCCTTTCAAATGTAGGTAAAATGAGGACCCAGATTGTGGGGGCAATAAGCTGACTTTGTATAAATATACAAAAGTATGAAGGCTATTGCTTAGCACATTGTAAGCTGCCCTGAGTCTCCGGAGAAGGGAGGCATATAAATTAAAGCAAAAAAATAAATAAAAAAAGCAAATTAGGCGAACTAAGTGTCTCCTGCAAACTCCATTCCCCTTTCACTCCTCTTTTATTCCCTCTGCAAGGGCCATTCACCGTCCACCTGTGGCTTTATTTATTTATTTATTTATTTATTTTTCATATTTGTATACCGCCCTACTCCCGAAGGACTCAGGGCGGTGAACAGCCATAATAAATACAAATACATATAGAAGTTAAAAACTATTAAGAAACAGATTAAGTAATTTAGGCCACATTAAGTAATTTAATTTACTCCTGAGTCGACCCTTGTTCCTTAGCTGTTCCCTTCTCCTGGCAGCTCTGTGCATACTGAGAACAGGCTCCAATTGTGCTTCTGCCTCACTGATATCCGACTGCGAAGGCAGCTGACAACAGTCAGACGGCCCTGGCCCCCTCTCTGCCTCCGACGCAGAGCCCTCATCAGAGCCTTCCCCAGACTCCAGGACTGGCCCATGTTCCTCCCCAACCTTCTCACTGTCTGAGTCTGCCACCAGCTCCGCTGGCTGCTGACGGGCCACAACAATTACCTGTAGTGGTTTTGGCTTAGGAAGGACAAAATTTTGGGAACACTGGCTTAGAATGGCAGTTGAACCTTCCATCATGTTTTTCTCTGCTCACCCCCCCCTCCCCGGTCCAGATTCGGAGTTGGTACCAAGGGGGCGAGACCTGGGACAGCAAATTCTCCAGTGTGGCCTCAAGTTACGAAGAGTGTCGGCAGAATGCGTGGGTCTCTACCTCTGTTTGAACAAGATGTTCTCCGGTGAGCCGTGATGGGCTTTGGGGAGAGTGAAGAATGAGGGGTACCCTCTGAGCTCCGGAAAATCCTTTTTTGTTTGTTTGTTTTTTTAAACATGTTTTATTTGAAGTTTTCTTTTCGCACCATACATATTTTGTGGAGAGTATAGAAATATATTTGCATTTATCGTATTTTTTTTCCTCTTCAATTTGTTTTCGGCTTTGTCAGGATCTTTGAACTGAATGGGGAAGATGCCGAAAATGTGATCTATATTAATTGGCTAAATATGGTCCGGGCGGGACTTCTGGCTTTGGAATTCTATACCCCCGAATCTGGGACTTGGCGCCAGGTAAGGATGCAATTTCGGAATTGTATTTCCTTGATGTTTTAATGTGCCCCATTTGCAAAAGACAGAAATACTGGCTTTAATTATTATTACATGATGATGATGATGATGATGATGATGATAATTTAATGCAGTGTTTCTCAATCTTGGCAGCTTGAAGATGAGTGGAATTCCCCAGCCAGCCTAGCTGGGGAAGCCTTCACTAGTTTTCTTATTAACATTATGTTTTCTTTATTTAAGGATCTTATTTTTGCGCCCAAAGCAGAAGCACCGGGGTGTTTCCGGATTGAATAATATCAATCTTATATTTATTTTATAAATGAGTGAAACATAATGGCACCAAGTAAGCACAAAATACATCCATGTTCCTAGGACACATATCGAATTACTGACAATACAAAAGCTATATTTTGGTTTCTATTGTTTTTTTTTAAAACTTATTAAGTTATTAAGTTATTTCTTATTAACTTATTAATATTAAGTTATTTCTCTATTTCTATTGTGATTTTGTTCAACGTTGGCTTTATCATTTGCCGAGTTATGATTATTTCTCCTTCCCCCGCCTGTACTGGCTGTGGAATCTTGGGAATCAAACTCCACTCACCTTAAAGCATGCTGGCTGGGGAATTCTGGGAGCTGAAATCCACCCAACTTAAAGCATGCTGGCTGCAGAATTCTGGGAATTGAAGTCCACCCATCTTAAAGTCTGCTGGTTAGGGAATTCTGGGAGCTTATTTCCACACACATATTAATAAATTATGATTATTCCTCCTTCTCCCCCCATACTGGCTGAGGAATTCTGGGAGTCAAAGTCCACCCACCTTAAAGCATGTCTGACTGGGGAATTCTGGGAGTTGAAAGTCCACCCGTCTTAAAGCATGCTGGCTGGGGAATTCTGGGAATGGAAGTCCACTCATCTTAAAACAGGCTGGCTGGGGAATTCTGGGAGTTGAAGTCCACCCATCTTAAAGCATGCTGGCTGGGGAATTCTGGGAGTTGAAATCCACCCATTCTAAAGCCTGCTGCCTGGGGAATTCTGGGAGTTGAAGTCCACCCGTCTTAAAGCATGCTGCCTGGGGAATTCTGGGAGTTGATTGTCAACATTGAACCCCTAAAGAAGATCTGGAATTTGCCTTTGCTCTCTTGGAAATAGCACGCTGATTCTACTTTCCAGTCTTGCAAGAGAGGGGAGCGTGCAAAAGCGCCTGCGCCCGTTACGACTCTCGGCTTCCCTCCTGACGTCCCTTCGTGTCTCTCTCTCTCTCTCTCTCCCAGGCTCACATGCAAGCCCGCTTCGTGATTTTAAGAGTGCTGCTGGAGGCTGGCGAGGGACTGGTGTCCCTGCACCACACCACGGGGACCGACGGCAAACCCGACGCGGTTGTCTTGCTGGACCGCACCAAGATCACCACCGTGGGAAAACCAGCTCTGGAACGTTTTCTCCGGAAGCTGCAAGTAAGTGAGGCTATCTTCCCTCCCTTAGGACCATCCTGGAAAATATAAGGAGCCGTCCCGTGTCGTTTCGGCCCGGTCTACCGGCGTTGCTTCGGCCCGGTCTCCCCAATGCAAAGAGGAAACATGCCAGCAGTTTGGGGAGTGGCGTCAAGCTGGCCACGCCCACCCAGTTGGCCACACCCAGTGAGTGATGTCAAGCTGACCACGCTTACTCAGTCGGCCGCGCCCGCCTGGCCCTCCGAGGTCAACCACAGCCCTGATGCGGCCCTCAATGAAATCAAGTTTGACGCCCCTTGTCTAGAGGTTAAGGCATTAGGCTAGAGAAAGCAGGAGACTGTGAGTTCAAGTCCTGCCCTAGCCGTGAAATCTAGTTCGGGGCTAGTTAATCTCTCAGCCGCGAACGCACCTCGCAAAGGTGGTGTTGTGGGGAAAATCGGAGAAAGAAGATGCGTCGGATATGTTGGAGTTATTTGTAAAAGCAATAAAGCCAGGGTGTACAGGTAGTCCTCGACTTACAACAGTTCATTTAGTGACCATCCAGAGTTACAATGGCGCTGAATAAAGTGACGAGCGTTTTTCACACTTCGTCCCCCATTGGTCAAATTGCAGACGCTTAAGGCACTAACTCACATTTATGACGGTTGCACCATCCCGGGGTCACGCGATCCCCCTTTTGCTACCTTCTGGCAAGTGAAGTTAGATAGATAGAATTCTTTATTGGCCAAGTGTGATTGGAAAACATAAGGGATTTGGTGCATATGCTCTCAGTTTACATAAAGAAAAAAGCAATTTGCCTCCTTGCAACAAACAGCCCATTTCAGCTTCAGCACAGCTTGATTAGCACAAGCAGCTGATTGTCGGATGGATTGGCCTCCCGAAGATCAGCTGTTTCAGGCTGCAGGGATTGCCATAGCCTATTGCCGCCTCCGCGTGCCCCATTTTCTGGGGGCTTGGGTAGGCGGGGCTACATTCGGTGTATAAGACACCCAAATTTTCACCCTCTTTTAGAGGGGAAAAAGTGCATCTTATACTCCAAAAAATACAGTAGTTAAAAGTGATAATTTTAGCAAGGTTTTTCCTTTCTTTACAGATCCTGAAATCGACCGCCGACGTCGAAGGCGGCCGGAAGCTTTATGAAGCTTATTCAGCCATGACAGACGACAAACCGGAACGCTTCCGAAGCTTACGTGACACGGTGCTTTTACGCAAGGAAGCACGGAAGCTCTTCGTCCAAGCCAACACCACGCTGCAGGGTAAGAAGGCTGGGGTTTGAACCTGGTTTACGATCTCTCAGGGGGTTCAACGTCACTGATTTCACTCGGTATGTAAAACCTCAAAGCTCTTAATCAGGATATTCCAGAGATTTCCGGTGTCTAAAGGTATTTAGAACTGATCTCCGTTCAGGAAGGGAAACCTGATTGCTATTCAGCCGCTTGGTTCGCATTTACGACAGTCACAGCATCCGGGAGGGTGGGGGTGTCACTTGATTGCCAGTTGCACCCTTCCCAGTGGCGCAGTGGTTAGAGTGCAATACTGCAGATGACTTCAGCTGCCTGCCGGCTGCCTGCAATTTGGCAGTTCGAATCTCACCAGGCTCAAGGTTCATTCAGCCTTCTGTCCTTCTGAGGTGGCTAAAATGTAGACCCAGATGTTGGGGGCAAAAGGCTGACTCTGTAAACTGCTTAGAGAGGGCTGTAAAGCTCTGTGAAGCGGTATATAAGTCTAAGTGCTATTGCTATCTTCCTTCCTTCCTTCCTTCCTTCCTTCCTTCCTTCCTTCCTCAAGGTTTACTCAGCCTTCCGTCCTTCCAAGGTCGGTAAAATGAGGACCCAGATTGTTGGGAGCCATAGGCTGACTCTGTAAACCGCTTAGGGAGGGGTTGTAAAGCACTGTAAAGCGGTATATAAGTCTAAGTGCTATTGCTATTTGCATTAAAACATTGTCCCCAGGTAAATTGTTGGAGTCTGCAGCCAAGGAGAAAAGACGATTGGGGGGGGGGGGAGGAATTATAATCTTAATCGGAGAACTGGGGACAGAATAAATTTTCCCAGTTTTGCCGGCTGACTTGGTCCCTCGCTCTCTCCCCTTCCTCGCCCAGGTGGCAAAGTCCGACTGACTCAGTACGATTCCAGCGCCGGGGGCCTGATCCGTTCCTTCTCCGACCGCTTCTCCGAAGACGCCGAGATCCTCGAGCGGGAATTGCTGGAGCTGACTCGCACAGATGCTCATTTTTGGGAAAGTTAAGGCTATAGGGCGGGTGGGAGGGCGGGTGGGCCTGGGTCTTCTTCTCCCCTCTTCCCAACGACCGCTCCTGACATCTGCCGTTCTCTCCGAATCACCTTCAGAAATGGGAGAATTGCCATCACGCTAGGAATCGAATAAAGCTTAACTTTTCTAAAGTTTGCGGGCTTCTGTTTGATTTGCCCCTCCCACCAATTCACGATCAGGGGTGGGGCTGCTGGAGGTTCACAGGGGTTCAGGAGAACCTCTAGCTAAGATTCTGTGCAGTTTGGAGAACCCCCAAATCCCACTCGTGCCTGGCCCCGCCCATCCCACCCCTCCCAGGAGTCCCCACGCGGCCCGTTTTGGATGCAGGTAAGTGCGACACGGAGGCTCGGGGAGAGCGAAAAATGGGCCTACTGGAAGTTCGGGAAAGCCGGAAACGGGCCCATTTCCAGCCTCCAGAGGGCCTTTGGAGCCTGGGGAGGCCATGGGTATTTGCGGGACCGCCTTCTGCTGCTGATAGCCTCCCACCGGCCAGTACGCTCCCACAGAGAGGGACTCCTCAGGGTGCCGTCAGCCAGGCAGTGTCGGCTGGCGACCCCCAGGGGGAGGGCCTTCTCTGTGGCAGCACCTGCCCTCTGGAACGATTTGCCCCTGGAGATACGTAGGATACCAGATCTCCGGGCTTTTCACCGTACCCTAAAAACTTTTCTTTTCCACCAAGCAGGGCTGGCGTAACATTCTCCCCCACACACACACACACACTTTTGAGATGTTAGATTTTTAATTGTCTATGGGTTTTTAGTTGGGATGTTTTAAATTTTGGGCCAAAGTTGTGTAATTTTTTTAACAAATTTTAAATTTTGTATTGGGATGTTTTTTATTTTGGCTGTGCACCGCCCTGAGTCCAGCAGGAGAAGGGCGGTATACCAATTTAATAAAATAAAATAAATAAATAAATAAATTTTTGCCCTCTCGGAGGCTCGAGGAAAGCCTCTGGAGCCCGGGGAGGGCAAAAACGCGGGGTGGGGTGGGGGGGGCTGCCATGGTGCAGGAGGTCGACTAGGCCACGCCCACCCAGCAACCAGGCAGAGAACCCCTTGCTCGTTTCCCGCTGGGGTTGCAGCAGTTGGGAATTTGGTAACACTGGGAGGAAAGGGCTTGAAAACCGAAGGGAAGGGAAAGAGCAGACTGGGGGAGATCGGAATTTAACCCAAGAGTCAAAGAGTTTCACTCTTTTGTGAAAATGCCTCGTCATCAGAACAGAGACCCTGGACAAGATACAGAGATTGTTAACTCTTTTTTATTTCTTCCTGGCCTAGACAGTGGGGAGAGGTTCACCCCAAAAGCTTTCCAAGGCTCGGGGGCTGCATTTGCAGGTTGCAAGCTGGGTTAGGTTTTCAAAAACATAAATAAAACAGGTTTTTCCTCAAACTTGGCAAACTTTAAGACAGGTGGACTTCAACTCCCAGAATTCCCCAGCCAGCCATGGGGGGGAGTCTCTGCCACGCATGCACGGGGAGAAGGGGCGTGCGTTGGGGCTACACACATGCACGGGGGCCGCATGTGGGGGGTGTGCATGCGTAGGGGGGCACAGATATGCAAGGTGCATGTGCAGGGGCCACACACGCATTGCATTTTGGGGCTTCGGGCGCACGCATACATAATCATGCGCGCTTTAGGCGCTCGGCCCGGAAAAGGTTAACCATCACTAGAATAGGAATAGAATAAGAATAATTAGAATAGAATTATAATAGAATTATATAACATTTATAGAATAGAATTATAATATATGGAATGGAATTTAATGGAATGGAATAGAAGAATAAAGTAAGAATAGAATAGAATAGAATAGAATAGAATAGAATAGAATAGAATAGAATAGAATAGTATATGGAATGGAATGGAATGGAAGAATAGAATAAAATAGAGCCCTGGTAGCGCAGCAGACTAAAGCACTGTTATTAACACCAGCTGCCTGCAATTACTGCAAGTTCAAATCTCACCAGGCTCAAGGTTGACTCAGCCTTCCATCCTTTCTAAGGTAGGTAAAATGAGGACCCAGATTGTGGGGGCAATAAACTGACTTTGTATAAATATATAAAAGTATGAAGGCTATTGCTTAACGCACTGTAAGCCGCCCTGAGTCTCCGGAGAAGGGCGGCATATAAATCAAATAATAATAATAATAATAATAATAATAATAATAATAATAATAATAATAATAACAGACTAGAATTGAATAGAGAATAGAATACTTTGTCACATTGAATGTACACTAATCATACAGCTCTCAAAGGATCATCATCACCTCCAATATACACTACATAACCATGACAGAATATATAAATACAAAATATAACCCCACCTATTTGATAGAGAAACAAACACAGCCTAATAATTCTAATATATACAATGTACATGGCCAGAAAAAAAACGAATCTTCCCAGTTTACTCCAACTCCCAGAATCCTTGGCGCGTCGCCCGACTGAGGAACTCTGGGAGTTGAAGTCCAACACCTGAAAAGTTCCGCAGCTTGGGAAATAAATAACGCGGGGAAGAAACCCCCCGGGGGTCAAACCGCCCCTTCCCCCAGCCTCGGCCCCCTCCCTTCCCCTCATCCCCACCCTCCCTTCCCCAAAACCCCGCCGCGCTCCACCGGGATGGAAACGGATGGAAAACCGGCCCCTTCCCTACAGGCCCTTTCCCCGGTTTTCGTAAGGGGGCGGTTCTTCCTGAGGCCCCGCCCCTAACCCGGAACGAAGCTGGTGGCCGCGCCACGTCGCGGGTAAACGCAGCCCGAGGGGGCGCGGCGAGGAGAAGCGAGGGGCGCATGCGCGCTCGGACAATTCCCCAGCCGGAGCTCGCGCGCCTGGGGAAGCTGCAGGTTTGCACCGTGCAGAAGGCGATCGCTGGGAAAGCGAAGCGGGCAAGGAGGGTCGTGTGAACGTGCCAACCCGGGTTCTGGGTGCGATCTGAGCCCCGAAGGGCTAGGGTCGTTGCATTAACCCCACCACCACCACCACCACCAGATCAGCACCGGGGTCGTTTGGAGACCCCTCCCCATATCAGCACCGGGGAAGGCGAGGGTCTCCCTTTTGCACCGTTCCCATGTGGCTGCCCGCCTTGCTGGGTCCCTGGGCCGTGCTGCTGGCCCTGTTTGCCGGCAGCTGCCGGGGGCTCTCCTTCCACCTGCCCCCGTTGAGCCGCAAGTGCTTGAAAGAGGAGCTGCACCGGGATGTGATGGTCACAGGGGAGTTCGAAGTGTCCGAAGCGGCCGCACCGGGTATCCGGACAGACTTAAAGGTATGGAGCATCCCTTCCTCCTCCCTAACCCCTTTGCACAAAGGGGGGGGTCTTCCCATCCTTAATGCACCCACCTGAGCTCTGCAAACTCTTGCTGATCTGCTTTTTGCACTCTGTGCATGCTCAGGGGGTTTCTCTCTCCTTCTGCCCCGCAGGTGACGGACTCCGCCGGACACCTGCTCTACTCCAGAGAGGAAGCCAAGAAGGGGAAATTCGCTTTCACCACGGAGGATTACGAAGTCTACGAGATTTGCTTTCAGAGTCACGGACAGCCAGGTGCGGGCATTCAAGCTGCCTTGACTACAGGTCCCATCGTCCCCATCCAGGGCCTTCCTGCAGCTGGGCGATGATGATGGGTCTTCACTTTGGGAAGAGAGCGAAAGATACAATAGATTATGTGTGGTTTTTTACTCCCAAGTACAAACTTTAAATTAGAATTCTTTATTGGGCAAGTGTGATTGGACACTTTCGTTTGTGAGTTTTCCCAAAATTTGTGTGAATATTATTTTTTTTTTTTTGGAATGGTCAGCTAAAGCAAACACATTGAATCTCGCAACCCCCTAAATCGTCCCAAAGCTAAGATTAAAAAAGTCAAATGACTGTAAAATATGTTGTGCAAAGGGAAAAAAGGAAACTTTTTAACTGACGTGGTTAAATGGGATTTGCCCCCAAAGTCAGGAAATTTACTTTGATTATTTTAAAATATCTTCGTTCCTGTTTGACCAAAGGCATTTTTTACTTTAGGTTTATTTTTGAAGGTTTCTTATTTTGCTTCGGGGTTCAAAGAGGCTTCAGAGAAAAACTGGACCCCATTATTATTACAGTTGTTATGGTTTACATATACAGTCAGCCAGATGTTTAAATTTAAGGGCATTTTTATCCATCTATCAAATCTTTTCCCTAGGACTTTTGATATTTGTTGTTGAATAATATTAAAGGTCAGCTGTCCCAACCCAACCTGCCTTTTGCAATTGACTGATGGGGATTTATCTTGTCAATGCCAGTAGTGTTCCAGATGTTTTGGGATTGCACCCAAGGCGCTTATCACTGTTGATTCTAACTTTGTTTTCTTTAGCCATAGTCCTTCTAGATGCAAATCTTTGTATTTTAGGATTTTGTCCAGCTTTTTTCTTTATTTATATTTATTAATTTATTATTACCGTTATTATGTTTAGCTAACCTCGCTTACTACATTAGAACATTGAAAATATTAAGAATAGTAAGAACATATTCATTATTATTATTATTATTATTATTATTATTATCAATGGTTCGCTGCACAGTCAGCCAGAAGTTGACTGGATTTGGCCTTTTTATCCACCTATTGAGACCTTATATTACTATTAATATACCGTATTTTTTGGACTATAAGACGCACCGGTGTATAAGATGCACCAAGATTTTGAAGAGGTAAGTAAGAAAAAAAACAGTTTTTGCTCTCCCTGGCCCCCAGGAGCACTCTGCAGGCCTCCCAAACCCTCTGTGTGCCCTGTTTTTTGCCTGTTTTTGTGAAAAACGAGGCGCGCAGAGGGTTTGAGAGGCCTGCAGAGTGCTCCTGGGAGCTGGGGGAGGGCAAAACTGCCCCGGTTTTGGGGAAACTCGGGTGAAAAACGGGCCTGTTTTTCGCAAAAATGGAACGAGCGGGGCGGGGCTTCGGGAGGCCAAAAATGGCTATATATTCGGTGTATAAGACTCACCAACATTTCCACTTTCTTTTAGGGGGGAA